TTACCTGCTCTCATCTTTCTGATCCCCACATGTCAAAGTACTTCATGGCCTTGTGTTCAAACATCTTTCCTCTGTCCATCCTTACTCCCTTGTCAATCTCATGTAGTCTCAGTGTCAAATGACAAATTTATCTGGCAACTACCAAGTTCATTTTTTGGCCCTGGAATTCACTCTGAAGTTTAAATCAGTGTATATAATTACAATGAACACTTCAAATTCAACATTTACCAAACTGAATATTAAGCTTTTATATCCATTTCTCCCTACATTTGCCAAACACTCTTTCACTGTGCTGAATAGTTTCAGTTGTCAAGTTGACACACCTGGGAAGAGGGAACCTTAATTGAGAAAATCTCTCTGTCAGACTGGTCAGTGGCCTATGAGACATTTTCTTAATTGCTCGTTAATGTAGGAGGCCCCAGCCTACTGTGGGTGGTATCATCCCTAGGCTAGTGGTCTGTGTTTGTGTAAGAAAGCAGGCTGAGCACAGGCCAGGAAAGCAAGCCAGTAAGCAGCATTTCCTCCATGGTCTGTGCTTCAGCTTCTGCCTCCAGTGATGAACTGTCGCTTGGAAGAGTAAGAGGAAATAAACCCTTTACCCCAAGTAACTTTTGGTCATGGTGTTTATCACAGCTACAGAAAAGTAACCAGAACATTCATGTTTCAGCAATTGGATGAATAGTGACATTCTTCCAAAAGCCCAAAGCTTTGGACTTCCTTTGTGGTTTACATTAATTTTATCAAAGCAAATCCTACTGACTGTTGACTTAAACTCTATTCAGAGCATCATATTTGTAATGCCTTTATAACCTTTATGTAATCCTATTATTACCTTAATCCAAACCCATGTCTTGCTTCCTAACTTGTTTCCCTGGTTTTCCTTTGCTTCTTTTTTCACTGTTTAAGTTGCTATGACAAATACATGACTGAGTAGCTTAGCCAACATGTATTTATTTTTTTTTATAGTTCTGGAGTCTGGAAAATCCAAGATCAATATTTTAGCTAATTTAGTTCTTGGTGAGAGCTCTTTTCCTGGCTTGTTGGCCTCTTTTTTCACATGGCCTTTCTTCTTTGTACAAATAGAGTGACTTCTCTGATGCCTCCTCATCTTACAGCAATGCCAGGCCCACTGAATGAATGAACCCTACTCTTATGATTTAATTTAAAGACTTTAAAGGCCCCATGTCCAAATAAGTCACAGTGGTTTAGGCTTTAAGATATGAATTTGGGGGAAACATACAAGGTAACAGATTCCCTTCAATCTGTTTTCATTATACTAGCCAGAAGTGATCCCATTAAATGAAGCCAGTTCATTTCACTTTTCTGTCTCATAAGCCCCCATTGGTTTCCCACGTCACTCAGAACAAGAGCCAAAGTCCTTCCTGCGGAGGCCAATCTCAGATGATTTGGTATCCCTATCTCTCTAAAGCTCCCTCCTGCTGCTTGCTGCCTGTTTCACTCAGCCCCAGTAGTCTCCCTTGTCTTGTTGGATCACATTCTGTCTATCCTCCTACTTCCAGGTCTTTGGTTGACTCCCCCATATGAATTCTTCCTATATTTGTCTTTTCAGACATCAACTTAGAAAAGAGGACTTCCTTGACCTATATCCCCTCATCACTGCAGCAACTCCATTCCACTTTTCAATGAAATAGGTTAATGAGTTTCCATTTGTTCTCTACTCTCAAGGTTGATAGGTTAGAAAAGATGAAGGAATATAAACATAAACACAAAAGTGAAAATTCTGATAAGCATTATAAAGGAAACAAATTGGTTGCAATTTATTGGTAATTGAGACTAAGGTGCTGGGAAAATCTGTCCTTAGATACATTGCTTAAATGATGCCAGGCTAGCCCTGTAAGGGGCTTGTTCTAAAACACTGAAAGATGAAACCATGGAGTAGATAGTTGTGCAAGAAAAAGTATAGGGAGAGAAAAGAAGCTGAATAAAGACTATTCCATGGAAAAAGCAATTTGCGAAGTAGTTACAGGAGGAACACCAAGATAGGACAAGCTTACATAGTCAGTTCATCTGTTCGCTCTCTTCATTGAGAGCCTGCTGGGTGCCAGGCATTGCTTACTATGTGTCAAAGTTAGAACAGTAACAAAACTAAGCAAAATCTATGCCAGTAAGGAGGAGGACTCGACTGAGTAGACGAATAAAAGTAGGATCTGGGATGGAAGTTTGAAGTGATAGCAGGTTCACAGGAAGTCTTTTTGGTTTTTTGTTTTGTTTCTGAATAGTGGAAAGGTGTGTATATTTATGGAGAGTGGAAGGATCCAGTGAAGAGACTAAGATTGAAGATTCAAGAGAAATGGTGAAGATACAAGGTGATCCAAATTCAAGAAGCAGAAATCCATAAAGAGCACAAATGAAGGATTAGCTTTAATGGGGAGAAAGGATGCGTCCTTTGAGACAGAAGTGGAGAGAGGACAGGTAAAGACAGAAGCCAAAAGTCCCTAAACAGGAGATGTGCATTCCCTTCTGAATGGGGGAATATTGTTTTTGAATTCTTTGAATACTTGCTATATTCTCATTGTGCCATTTCCCTCCAGTTTAAACATTATTTTTGCCTTCAGCCGTTCTTCACATGTTTTCCTAAGTCTTTTGTCACTTGGGACCTTCTTCTATAGAAACATTCTTATTCGACAATAGTCCTGAAACATTCCCTACTACACAACTGAATATAGTCTAGATAAGAGGTGTTTCCAACATGCGGTCCAATCTGCATGCAGCCAAGGACAGCTATGAATGTAGCTCAACACAAAATCACGAACTTACTTAAAATATTATGAGATTTCATTTCTTTTTTAAAAATTTGATTACATAGCTCTCAGGTATGAGCCTTGTAGATAATAATGGCATTTTGCAATGTTAAAAGGTTGAGCATAAAAATCTGCTTCCTTCCAACTTACTCAGACATCATGTTCTCTTGCAAAGACTAGGATGTGCTTATCTTTTGAGTTCTTTTCTTTTATCTGGAGTGAGCCATGTAGTTAATGGGTAACCATCAAGGCACCAGGAATTATTCCCAAGTTAAAAGTTGTGTTTCCTTCCTTGCTTTCTGTTCAAGTTTTGTTTATTTGTTGGTTATTACAATTGTCATGGGTTTTGCTTACAAAGCTTTTATCTTACCTGTACTTTTTTCTACAGATCATTACCACAATGAGACTATAGCTGACCACTATGGTTCTCTATTTTCTCCTTTAATCAAGACCTAGTCTTCCTTTATTGAGTCTTTTGTAGGCTTCAAGAACTTATGGTTGCAATGTTAAGTTTGGAAGGAGAACCAGTGTAGACAAGCTCTGATATGTTCACATACCTTTTCTCTCTGCAGTTTTGACGTTCTAGTGTAACCTAAAACTAAACTTAAAACACCTAGAAATTCTGGAAAAAATAGAGCAAGCTTCCCTTGAAATGCACTATTGGACATTTACAGAAGTCGTGGAAATAGATATATAAGGCCCAAAGCAGGATAGAAGCTCAAATTCGGGTTGTGAAAACGAGTGTCTTCTTCTTCCCTCTCCTCCCTGCCACTCGCTGTGTTCTTAGCTTTGGTGTCCAGAACTTGGCATTAGTACACATCTCTTGTCAATGAGAGAATTTCTTTTTCTTGTTGTCATCAATTGAGTTATTGGTGTTAACAGACATCCTTCAGTGCTCGCTCGGTTGTTTTCAGCCCTGTTCAGAAGGAGTTTTTCCTCAGAAGGGGCTGAGATACTAGGAGTGCTTTCTATCTGCTTAGTAGGGAAATCTTGGAATTTTTCTTTGCTACAAACTATGTGATCGTCTATTTTAGATATTGTTTATTTCAATTGGTTAATATAGATAAAATAGGTCAGGATGTAAATTCTAGGGTCTAGAAGGGTTTGTACTCAAAAACTTGTTATTTTCTAGTCTACATTCTACTTGTTTTTAGATTGTTTTAGACCAAATATTACAAGAGAATATAATTTTTTGAGGTCTGACTAGTTGTGGTTTGGGGCAGAATTCTGGGAAACACAAAACAGCACTAATTTGAATGAGGCTACTTTATGCTGACTCTATGTAGGAGTTGGTAAACTGTAGGCACAGAACTTTAAAAAAAACTTAATTTATGCCTTATTAAATAATTTTTAAAATTTTATAATCTGTGATGAAAGTAATAGAATTATTTTACAATTATTAATGTCTAAAGAAAAAAAGCCATTGTTTTGGCATATGTAAACTCCAATTTGGTAACACTATAGTCAATAGTTTTTGGATCCATCAGTTACCTTAGGCTATCAACAATTCTCTACTAACAATTCTTATCCTGTGTCACCAAATGAAGGTAATTATATCAACCTTGGATTTGAAATAGTCAATCTGGTTTTGCAGTGTTGCTGTGATAAAATATTGGAGATAATCAACTTACAAGGAAAAACATTTATTTTGATTGTGGACTGCAGAGGTCTCAGACCTCGGCTGTTGAACCCTGTCGCCTTTGGGTCTATGGTGAGGTGGTACATGTTATTGGGGATCATGTGGAGAGAAAACTGCTCACCTTAGATTTCATTTATCATACATACTTACACATCAGTCTTTTCAAGTAGAAGGGAAATATACAGGGCCTAGGCTTGTATTTCCAACCTCAGATCTCCTTTCACTAATTATTGACATATAATTCATGCTTAATAAATGTATGCTAATTGAGTGAACTTGTCATATATTCATGAAAGCCTCGTGCAATAGACATCACTACTTTTATTTTACATTTGGGCACAACTGAGGCTAAGAGACAGTGAGTCATTCTATGTCATAACAAGGTCAAATGACTCTTCAGAAGCAGAGGTGCTTTACAAACACACACTTTTGAATTTTATTCCTGGAATCTCTCTTTCTTTTTTTTTTTTCATACTACTCTGTCAGAGAGTGCTGAGATTATAGAAAATATGTCTGAAGGCATAAATTGCCAGAACTTGTAAATCTGTGTGAATTCCAAACGCAGCTTTGCCTTTTCCTTTTTCTTTTCTTCTTTTCAGACAGAAAAGGGGAGTGCTCTTCATGAAGCAGCTTTGTTTGGGAAGGTGGATGTCGTGCGAGTTCTGTTAGAAACAGGTAGCTATCAGGGTTCTCCGTGGATTCTATCCTGCCAGACACCGTTGCTATTTCAGGAGTAAATGAAGGAAAATGGCAGCTTTCTTCAAAAATAATCCTTTTCTTCAAATTGCAGATAGGTATTCATACTCTTCAGAATTGAGCCTTGGTGTTTAGGTAAAATTGATATAAATATGCACCTCTTGTACTAATAGGTATTTTAGTAAAAGCTGGGTTACACAGTTAAATTGTTTCTAAGTACACCATAGGAAATAGCATAAGGAAAAGGAGCATCTCTGCTTTCAACAAGATGGAGGGATTGATCCTTAAAAGTTATGACAGTTGCTTGGTTTATTAAAAAAAAAACAATTTCTGGGTGCTGGAGAGATGGTTCAGCAATTAAGAGCACTGGTTGCTCTTGCAGAGGAGCTGGGTTTGGTTCCCAGCACCTACATGGCAGCTAACAACTGTCCTTAACTCAAGTTCCAGGGGATCCAACACCCTCTTCTGTCTTCCACAGGCACTGCAAGATATGGGTGCACTTACACACATGCAGGCAATACACTCATATACATAAAATAAAAATAACAAACAAAATAAATAAAAAATATTTTAAAAAGAACATGGTTTCTGCCCTTTGTTTTTTATATTGTGAACTATGGCCAACAGAAGTTTGACTTCTTTTTAAATTTTCCTAGCTGTTCATCAATGGAGTAGCTATTGTTCATTGGCAACAGAACCTTATTTTAGAGAGAATATTTTGAAGGACAAATAAAGAGTAGACTTCTCTCTCTTTATGTGAATGTCTTGAATGAAATGAAATAAAATTGGAATTGAGGTCAGATTTTAAGAATCAAGGACATGAGTACAAATTATTATTTGGATATAGTTGATGTAAATCACATTATGGGACTGTAGTGTTTATTTTGCTCTGGAAATAAAAGAGGGAAAACATTGGCAGGCTATCGTGCTGTTATTGTACATGCACAATTTTAAAATTTCATAAGCTTGACATGCAGTGCGGTGATATAATAAATGACTTCAGCAACCGATTAAATATATAGTGGTTGCATATTCTGATGCAAATTTAAGCAAATATTTAATAATCAGATGGTCTACTAACATATGGACCAAATCCTATGTACTGGCTTTGTTTGCAGTCTGGTGTTTAGGAAGTTCATAAACTTTATCAGGGTAGTGAATATTATTTGTTATATTAAGTTTTTTGGTTTGGCAAGTATTTTGGAACTATAATATTAACAAAAGTGTTTCAGTCACACAGTTGAGGTTTGTACAAGTAGCTAATAAATGTGACTGGTGCTGAATATAATCTGGTGTGAACAAATATTATGGAGTGTTTGACTTTATATTTGGAGACATAGTATTTGAACACTTAAATAATCATGCTTTTCAAATTTCGTTTTGTTACTTAGAATACTCAAATATTCTGAGTATTCTTATATTGATTGTATATGATTATCACTTGTTAAGTTTTTTGGCTGCATTATACAGCATATAGAAATCATTTGGCTGTTTTAAGAATTCAGATTACAAATCAACAATATTTTCACTTTGATAGTATACTACTTAGTTAACTAGCTACAACCGAAACGAGACACTGGAGTCCCAAAAAGCAGTCTTTGTAATTGAACTAGTGATCTTCAAAAATTGGCTGATTATCAAGACTCTTTCAAATCTTTTGTAGCATTAGGGCCCTGCCTTCTTTCTTGTTAAAATCTTATGTGTGCAACTTAGCTTTTAAACTGCCTTCAGTACTTGGCCTATATGCGTTTGAAATGAGAGCAGTTATATATTGACAGTATCATCTGAGGACGCTCCAGTGGTTCATCTAGTTTTTCTTTTTCCTTCAGGAATTGATGCCAACATAAAAGACAGTTTAGGTAGAACTGTCTTAGACATTCTGAAAGAACATCCGTCTCAGAAATCTCTCCAGATTGCAACGCTCTTACAAGGTAAATAGTAGTGAATGATAAATGACTTTGCCTTACAGTTGAGATTAAGCCATAGCTCTCATAATTCTGCACTTTGAATTACTGCTTGCTTTTGAATTAATGCACCATTTGCATTTTCCAGGAATATTTTAAGCTAAATAATAATTCATTTCAAATGTTTTAATTGTTTAGCTCCTCAGTACTAAAAAAATTATTTATTCACTGCTTGATTTACAAATGTTTTAAAAGCCCATATAATAAATATGGGTAATGATATCTTGAAGCTAATAAGGCTCTATGAAATGGCAATGGTTAAATATTACCGTGTCTTTGAATAATACCTTAAAAGTTTTCAGAGGTTTTCTATAATTTTGTCTGATCTCTATGGCTGAAGCAGCTATATCACACGTTATTCTCCTTGCACATGAGGGACACTAAACCTCTGAGAGGTTATTTTGTTCACCTTCATAGTTCTTTTCTGCACTAAGTAGCAGAGCTAGTAAATGAATTCCAAATTAACAATAGCTGAAGTTGTAGCTGGCTGAAAGAATATCAATTATTTCTTGCAATTTGTGTAGATTGGTCACAAGTTGAACATTGGAGAGAGTCAGGGCAGTTTCATTAATTTTCAGTCAGAGAATCAGAAAACAGCATTGTTTCACAAGAAGCTGTATGAATTAATATCAGGTGAGATTGTGAACATGTGGATGCAGGAGTCCGCAAAGGCCAGAGCTGGTTATAGATTATAGATTAGATTTTCATTACACTCTCTTCTGGAGTGATCTCTAAAACCTTTGCAGGAAGTTCAGGCCTCTATAATTTTGTTGTCAGTAAAGAAGTTAATTGCAAGTCAGTGCACTCAGAAATGAATCAGAGAATCCAAGCATGGCTTTTCATATTAATTCAAATGAAAATCAAATTGAATGAAAGCGTAAAGAAAAGAGGTTGCACACTGTTTTGATCAGCCTTTTCCTCTTGAGGCACTTGTAGTTTATATTACACTTTTGCCTCTAACTGAACTAAAAAAAAAAACACCTTGAAGTTTGTATGTGTTATGTCTTTTAAAGCTTACAGAATATTTTCCTCACTAAATGGCGGCAAGACATAATTACAGAAAAATTTAACATATTGCACTGGTTCAATGTAATAAAAATATAATTGTGTAGGAGCAAACTGTCTCTGCTCCCTTAAAGACCAAGACTGATTGGGTGTGTCAGTTTGGGATAGGGCACGTAGGATATCTTCAGATTTTTCATATTATTGGCAAATACATTATATTCTTACCATTCCTTGATTTCAAGTCAGTGATGCCTTTTAATTTAATAAAAAGGTTGGTATTGCAATAAAGACAGATAAATATCAGAGATGTAATTATTATTTTTTGAAGTTGCTACTCAACTTACATACCGTGCAGTGCGTAGTTCAGAAATTTTCAGAATAAAATTCTACAGGTTGTTTTCTTTTCCTGGTAGAATTTGTCTTGAAGGATTGCCTTTTGATATCAATCATTGTAATGGTCGGAGGACGCAGTTGGCTGGCATTAGAGCACAAACTGTCTTAACTGGATTCTTAAGAAACAGATTCCTTCTGAAGAAGGATATAAATAAAAGATCCCAGTGGGAAAAGATCTGTTGATTTTAACCATTAGAAGGGGGCTATAAACTAGCCATACGTAGGCTCAATATTTTTGGTGTATAACAGGTATTTTGGGTTAAATTGTATCTTTCCCCTATATTGTGTTTCCATAAAAATCAAATTAGCCATCAACATTTAGAAAATCCAGAATTGTAGCTAAAACTCCAGAATTTTGTTATCTGTGAAAACACAGGTTCACATCTTATGTAACTGCTGAACCTTTGATAGAGAAGCTGCTCTCTGAGCAAGAATGCCTTGTGCTTCCTGTGACGTCGACACTTAATATTCCCTGACATTTATTTCTACATTCAGTGTGATTTTCTTATGATTAAGAGAAAAGTCTCATGCTTTCATGTCCCATGCCCTTCTGGCTCTACCACTTACTAGGTTAAAGAATAGGGACAAGCTAATAATCCTCCTCTGTAGTCGTCTTCTTTGAGACAGACCTGGGTGTGTTAGCCTTGGCTACATAGTGAGTCCCTGACTTAAACACAACACAACAAAACAGCTCACACACAGGTCCCATAAAAATAAGCTAGTAAAAGTGTATCTGTCATAGTTGTGTAAGGATCAAAGAGAGTAATTTATATCAAGTATTCAGAGCCATGTTGAATGCACAGTAAGCAACAGTAGCAGCTGCCATTACTGTTATTATGTCTTTATCAAAAAAGAAAGAGGACAAGGTAGGTTGGATATAGGACATTGTTTCCAGATAATGAGAATAACGAGAATAAATATTTCTCTATAGAAATAAAATTTAGAGTGAAAATTATACTTATCTTTGAATCTCACAACATCATTATAAAGTAAATTTGCCTTATCTCATCTACTTATGTTACCTGAGTGGTGGTTGTGTTCATCTGAATTGAACATCTCCATTTTAGTGATAACTTCTATTCAAAGCATCTTTCCCAGAGCTCTAAATCTTCAAATTGAAAATATTTAATGAGATTAAGGAGGCTCTTATGTCTTCAACAGACATGCTTATTTTTAAGTAAACAAAATGTTTTTACTGAAACATTTAAAACTAGTAGCTCAAGAAGTTCTTTTAAGTTATTTTAATAGAATATATGTGTGATATGAGGAAATAAATGAAAAATAGATCACTAGAAGTAAAACAATGTCTAGCTATCGCTTTTTAACACAAGTGAATTCAAGTGTATAATCTCAGAAATGTCTATCCACAGAATACTTAGAAGGTGTGGGGAGGCCAGCAGTCCTGGAAGAGCAAGCACAGGAAGACACAACACAAGAGAAACCCCCGTCCTCTCCTGTGGAGTCTCCTTCCCAGAAGACCAAAAGTGCGTAGCTGACTACAAAGCCCCTGAAACAAAGCCAGACTTTAAAAAAACTTTTTTTTCTTTATTATTTTTTATTTTATGTGTATGTGTGTATTGCCTGCATCTAGGTAAGCACACCCGTGTTGTGCAATGCCCATGGAAGACAGAAGAAGCTGTTGAATCTCCTGGAACTGGAGTTACAGACAGTTGTTAGCTGCCATGTGGGTGCTGGAGTTCGAACCCGGGTCTTCTGCAAGAACAGCCAGTGTCCTTAATCGCTGAGCCATCTCTCCAGTCCCCCAAAGCCAGACTTTTATGGACAAATTTTTCAGTGTGCCTGAGAAGCCTAACATTTGTAGAAATTTCAAATCTAGTTAGTTATATCTTATACTTTTCATTTTAAAAATACTTTATTATTTGTATTTTATGTGTATGAGTATCTTTCCTATATATATGTAAGTGCACCATGTGCATGCAATGCCAGTGGAGGTCAGAAGAGGGCGTTGAATCCCCTGGAACTGAGGTTATGGACAGTTGTTAGCTGCCATGTGGGTTCTGGGAGTCAAATCCAGGTCCTCTAGAAGAATAGCAAATGTTCTTAACTGCTGAGCCATCTCTCCAGGCCCTTATACTTTGCATTTTATATATTTAGTCAATCAACACTTGATTTTTTTGATTAATTGATTTTTGTTCTATGTGTATGAATGTTATGTCTGCATGTATATAAGTGCACCTATGTCATGCCTTGTCTGTGGAGAACAGAGAGGGTGTCAGATCCCCTGGAACTGGAGCCAAGACACTTGTTAGCCACTGTGTGGGTGCTGGGATTTGAACACTGGTCTTCTGTAAGAACAGCCAGTGCTCTTAACCACTGAGACATCTCTCCAAATGCCTCAATCAACATTTTTAGTGTTTCTACTACTTGTTTGTGGTTACTCATGGCCCTGACATATAGTAGTTAGCAAAGTAAAGCAACTCCATTTGTAATAAAGTTTATTTAGAGTATGTATTTATTAATTATTTTCATACATATGTTTTTCTCTAGCTTTATTGAGACATATTGACAAATAATGATTTTATATTTACAGCATATAATGCAATGTTTTGGTACACACAGATATGTTGACCCACTCACATTGTGAATTGATTGCTACATTCAAGCTAGTTAACAAATGTATCACTTTACATAATTATAACTTTTGGCGAAGAGAACAATTAAGATCAAATATCTTGGGGAATTTTATTTTTAACCATATTTTCTGTACTATACATTAGATTTCCTGAATTCATTCTCTTATAACTGAGATTTTGAACCCCTTAATCAATCACTGTCTCCCCATTTTTCTCACCTCTTCTACTCTTGTTAACCACAATTTCACTGTCTGCTTTTATACATATGTTTTTTTTTTTAATATTGTACCTATTAGTAAGGTCATGCAGATTTGTCTGTGTCAGGCTTATTTTGTTTAGCAAAATGTCCTCCAGTTACATTATTGTCGTCTCAATAGAATGTGTACCCTTCTTTTAAGGCAAAAATAGTCCATTGTCTACTTGTATTCTCTTTCTCCAGTCATCCAATAGTGGATGTATAAGTCTTTCCTCACATCTTAGTGATCCGAGGTATTGTTTAGATTAACATGGGGAGTCATGTATCTTCTTCAAGATACCTTTAAAAAAAATAATAGCCCCCTAACAGATATGGTATCTCTCATCTGCTTTGCTTCTGTTTCTCTATGCTTTTGGTGTCTAAAAAACATTTTCCAGACCCATGTCAGAAAGCTTTTCCTTATGGTTTTTTTTCTTTATGCTGAGAATTTTATGATTTTGGTCTTATATTAATGTTTTTATGAATTTTCAGTTGACTAATGAAGGTGGTGTGAGATGCAGTCCATTTTAGTGCATCTATGCATGTACTGTGCAGTTACGCAGCATCATTTGTTGAAGAAACTATCCTTTCTACATTTTGGGTATCTGGCATTATTGTTGAAGAGCTACAGTAATCAAAACAGCATGGTACTGGCAAAAAAACAAGACACACAGATCAGTGAAAAAGTAAAACTCAGAAATAAAAAATGTTCCTGAATTGACCTGTATGTCTATGGTCAACTCATCTTAAATGTATTTTAAGTTAAGAGTAAAAGCATTAAGATCTGTATTGTAATTGCAGAATTATTTTTGTGAACAAATGATACACATTTAGTACTTTTCTGAAACTGTCAAGGAAAATTAATATTTCCATGTAACCTATAAAATATTTATGCTTTGATGGATGATACATATTTTTAACTTAGTCCTTCTTTTTCCCATTGCATTGTATATGTCTGATTACTTACATAATTATTTATTTAAATAAGTTAATACTATTTAATGTTTATTAAAACAAGGAAGTAAGCTCTCAGGACTATTTCAGATTTGTTAATGAATCATTAAATTCTGTCAGTGAAATAAAATGTCAGTAAAAGATTATTAGAAAATAAATCCTGGGGCTGGAGAAATGACTTAGAGGTTAAGCGCACTAGTTGCTCTTGCAGAGGCCCTGGGTTCATTTCCCAGCACCCACATGGTATTTAATAACTGTCAGTTACTCCAATTCCAGGGGATCTGACACTCTCTTCTGACCTCTGTGGGCATTGCATGACATGGGTGCCCTTACATTAAGCAAAACACCATACACGTAAAATAAAATAAAAATTTCTAGGGCTGGAGCTATAGCTCAGTGGTCAAGCTCCTGCTTAGCATGTGTGAGGCCCTAAGTTCAGTTCCCATACTGCAAAGAAACAATTCCTATAGTAAATGAAGCTATAGAAATTATTTACTATCTATATTTTTAAATTTTCAATACTTTTACTTTGACAAGGAAAATTGACAGGCAAAATTAGAATCTCCTTTGTTAAAATTTTAATGTTAAGTGTCTCAGTACCTTGTTTTTGCCAGATATTTCTAACTCCTTAGTGTTATTTATTGTATTTTAGTATTGCATCAGCATAGTCATTAGGTCTGCTTTGTTAAACATTCCGTGTTAGCGGTAATCCGCCTTGCAACTTCTGAAAGAATTATTTTCTTATAGGTGAAACTGTGACTGGAGAGCTGTCAAAACTCCTGGATGAAATAAAACTCTGCCAGGAAAAGGATTATTCTTTTGAAGATTTGTGCCACACGATATCAGACCACTACTTAGATAATTTGAGCAAGATTTCAGAGGAAGAACTTGGGAAAAATGGAAGCCAGAGTGTAGTAAGTAAGGGGGAAATGAAGACACTGCGTCTCTTTCCAGTTCAGTGCATGCCCCTAAGTGGCATGGGATTTGTTGATTTAATTGTCAGATTCGGTCGCTACAAAAAGTCATTCTCCCTGTTGGTCTTTTCTCTGTTGTTTTTGGACTTTTATGTTCACTCTAGCATGTCTAGGGGAAGAAATGCTTTGTAAGGGCTGACTGTGTAATTCAGTAGTGGACCACTTGCTTAATGTGATTTACTAGTAGTAGTTAGTGATGGTCTCCCTGTTAGACTGTCGTGTGTAACAGGGAAGCTGCAGTTTCTTTGAACATAATGTTTCAACTGAGCATAATGACTTTGACTCCCAAAGAAGAAAACATTTCTTTTGTCTCTCTTCCTCACATTGTTTATAATTCCTCTTTAAGAAGAAACATAGAGCTAGGCCATGAGTATAATTTTTCAGTCACTCCAAAAGTCAAGGTGGGAAAGCTCAGCCTACCCTTGTTTTCATACTATGCAGATCCTAGGGATTCTTGTCTGAGATCTTAGAATCTAAAGCATGAGTTGGATATTCTTGACTATTGTGCATTTTTTATGTTAACACAATAGCAAAAATTGTTTTAAATGAAGATTTTCAAACATGTTCTTGACCTATAAAGGAAAGATTTGTAGTGTATAGTGATAATAAAGGAAATAGATTGTTTTGACACAAACTATTCACTTTTAGAATTTAATTTGTTAGAACAGTGTTATACTTTACTAAAATATGAATAATAATAGACTGTATTCAGTATGTAATATTATTTTGAGAACTTAAAAAATAATTCTAAGCATTGTGACTGTCCATTTTGAGAACATGAACTTCATTTAGTTACTTAAAGTGAGGCATGACACTGTTTCTCTGCAAAGTACTTGCTAATCTAGTTCTATGGCTAAACTTACCTCCTAGCCCTACTTTTTTGTGTTCCAATTTTTTCTGCACTGTCACATTATTGCCCTTTTCCCAATTCTTTATGAATAGCTATGAATAATTATACATGTATCACTCTAAAAGCTTATAGGTTTTATCAAATGAAAATCTTAAATAAACGAAATATTTATTAGTAGTCAGGATAAAATCCCCTGCTTAGAAATATAAAACAGATACATTCTGTTTGCAAAGTACAGGTTACTTGTATCTTAGCATCATCTAGAAAGTTACTTAGAACTTATTTATTATTTATATTATTTATTATTATTACTTAGAAACATATTTGTACCACGTAAGTAATACGTGATGTCTGGATTTTTACATTCATCCTCAAACGTTTCTATAAATTGGCAACTTCTTACCCTTCTAAACCTAAAGATTTTCCCCAAATCCCTAATTTTGTAGATCAGTGATATCTAAACTGTTAAGTTACTATCCCAGTGAATATATATATATATATCCTATATATATATGAGATTTACTACACAAGAAATCTAGAGCGAGGAAGGTAAAGACAGTATAAGTAGAAGCCTAGTTGTTTCTCCTTTACTCTGCATCTTGTCTGCCCCAGGGTGTGTACTCTGGATGCTTAGAGAGTGTGATATAAGCTTATACATTTTAGGGAGTGATGGCAGGAGCTTTTGATAGGATGTCATATTTTGTGATGAGATAATCGCTTTGTTTTATTATTGGAAGATTGCATTGTGATGGTGGCAAGGGAGAAATGAATGCTTATAAATTTAATTTAAGTTCTTGAAAGTTTAGCCCATGGGTTCCTACACTGTTCTTTGCTCTTGTGACAAATCATTGTAAGACTGTTCTCTGAAACCATTGTCATAGAAAATACCAAAGGTTATATAAGGCAGGAAAGCAGACAGTATACGAAAGAGCAAGTCACCCTATTTATTTGCAATGACAGAATTTACAAGGGAACAACCAGAAATAAGATTAGAAGGATAGACGAGGTTAGGTCATGCGTGATTCTGAATGTCAGGCTAAGAATTTGGTATTTATTTTTTAGGAAATGAGAAAAATCTAGATGATTTTGGGCAGATAAAAGACATCATTGGAACTGGCCTTTCAGAAGATGAATCTGATAGAAACTTGTCATTGAATGTTTAAAAAGTAATCCAATTACATTGACCCTTCTCTGTAGCTTGTATTTTATTTGTATTCATTATGTTTTGTCTGATATTTGTTTCTAGTCATCAAACCATTTTCCCAGAGTATTGATATTAATTGTCCTCTCATTGTATAAAAAGGTCAGTGCAATAGTCTCATATTACCCAATACTGATCACCATTACAATGTTTTAAGTTATAGGTAGGCAATGGAGATGTGAAGTATGGAACTTGACTTCAAAGACTTCAAAATACACATCCCAAAGAACCTCCAGTCACTGTGTGTAGAAAAGACCAACATGAAACAAATATATATTATGAACTTACATTTAGTAGGTTCTTGCTATCTCCTATTCTAATTTTTCACATGATTTAAAGTCCTAGTAAGCAATTCTAACTGTGGCACTATAGATTTATTGAATTGCTCAGCTGGCAGGTGCCACAGTGAAGATTAAAACTAAGAGCGAATATTTTAAATTCTCAGCTAAATTTCTTATAGTAAGTTGCTCTATGGCCAAAGGAACTTTAAAAAGTGAGAGATCAGTGAAGGCCTACAGGTATTCAGTTGGAGGCTTCATGGAGGTAGGGTGAGATTAAAATGGGTTGTGGAAGAAGGAGAGATGTGCCTTGCATTTGTGTTAGAACGAATGAATGAGAGGTATATAGCTTGAAGAAATAGTATGTGTAAAGGCACAGAGCTAAGAATTCACATATAACTTAGAGAATGGTTTACTGTGAGAGTAGGTTTTCAAAGTGATGGGAATAAAAGATAAGGATAATGTCTACCATTTGAAGACTCTCAATAGCTCACTGAGATATTATTTCTCCCATTTTACATATAAAAAATGAAGGTAGAGAAGGATTTGGTGACTTTTCTCAAGTTTACAAAGTAAGTATGAGTGTCGTGACCTGATCCCGGGCAGTCTGAAGCTGGAGTACACTGTATATCACCCCCTATGATATCAGAGAACACAGGTAGATGACCAGATGTCCACACAACTCCCAAGTTTAGAATTGTAGGGGAATAAAATCTTGAGTAGGGGAGTTCTCATGAATGTGGCATTTTGAAAGATAGAAGTACAGATTGTTGGGTATCCTGGGTACAGACTGTGATAATCATCAATGGTTACATGTTAGAGTAGCCTGGAGGGGCTCCAAGAAATAACTACTGATATGTCAGGTGCCACATCATGTAAGTCAAAATCATTTAGGGAGTGGAGTATGTTGACACAACTTATAAAGCCAGCAATTGAGATGCTGAGGCTGGAGGATCATGTGTTCGAGGCCAGGCTGAGTACATAGGAAGTTTGAAGCCAGTGTGAACTGCAAAGTAAGACTCTGTCTCAAAAAAAAAAAAAAATCCATTTTTTGTAGCTCTGAGCATTGTCCTTTTAAGAAGCTTCCAGGTATCCTAAGAGGGATACACCTGAGCTAATGAACTAAATGTCTGCCAGGACTTTTATAAGCAAATTCTGGCCTAAAATGAGAGTTGAACTGAGGTCCTAATAACACCACAAAATTACATATTTTTGAGATAGAATAAACTTGATAGGATTAGTAGTGGCTAACTTATTTGTCTGATTCTCCCATATGTTTTTAAAAAGTTCTAAAACCAGGAAATGTTTTAGTTTTGACTCATAACAAGTTGCTGTAGAATAAACATTTATTTCTCACAAATCCAAAGGCTGGAAAGCCCAAAATGAAACTGCAGGCAGTTGGTACCTGATGAGAGCCTGCTTCTGGGTTTGCAGGTGTCTGTCTTCCCAGAGGACACAGAGGGAAGAAGCAAGTTCTCTGGTGGCTCTGTATATAGGCCTGAATCTTCTCCTGATGGCCATACCATCAACCCAATGCTTCCCAAATACTTCACATTACTCTAGTACTGAGGGTTAGGATAGCAATGTGTGTATCTGGAATGGACAGACATAGTTCTTACCAGGGAGATTTTCAGTTATCACTAGGCAAATTCAAATTATACCCTGATAACAGTCCTAACTTACAATTATTTTGCATTATATCAGAACGTGAAATGTGGAAATCATTTTTGTTTGTTATTTATTTCTTGTGATATGATGAGCAAATTGTTTGGTAAAAATTTAGTTTTAGATGCTCTGAGACATCTCACTTGTGAGTTATTTAAAAAGTAATTAAGAAGATACAAAATAAAAGGAAAATATGTCCCAAGACTTCATATTTATTATTCATAATATACTTTACATGTTAGTGATGTAGCTTGAACGCAGAGTATTTTAGCTAAACTTAATTCAGTGTAATGTTCATGACTATTTTTTTCCAATAGAGGGCACTCAGATTCAGGAATTTAAGATACAAAATCTGCTACCTTATGTAAGAACTTTTATTTTTAAATCAAATATCTTTGATTTTATTTGAACAATTTTACTATTATAAATGAATTAAAAATTAATTTCCTATTATGATTAATTTTAATGAGTCAGAGGTTTTATATTTAATGCAAAGACCAGCTCAAGTTAAAATATTTTGTCTCCCTTCATTTTATTTCAGAAGTTAATCTGTCCTGCATGCTCTTACAATATGCATATGAAACAATTTTCTAAGTTGAATTATGATATTATATAATCATAACAAAATATAAATTTTGAAGAAATATCTTCAGATTGTTTACCACCTCATTAAGTTTGAGTTTTCAAAAGAATATACAGTATTCTGAAAATTCTCCCATTCTCTTCATTTCCCTAACCCCTATGTTCAAATTTTCTTCAGGTATATAAGCAATATGTATGGTTCTTAAATGTGAACACAGCAGGCTGCAAGAAATCTGATGGCACATGAAGATTAGAACAGGCAGAATCCAACTATTAGGAAAGCGTTTCTCATAGATTTGAAACAGAAAAAGCATTGTTACCTCATTAGTCTATGTTTAGAAGAAATGAATAAGACACTTGAAGC